GGGTGGGGGTGCCTAGGCCTCGGCGGGACTGCGCGTCCAGACTCCTTCCCCGGGCCTCTCTCAGCCCGCGGGGCCTTCCCGGAGGAGGAGGATCCTCCTGCGCCCCCCACATCGGGGCGCACTGCGGCCTGGACCCTGGTCGCTCCCAGTTCCTCTGCCCCTTGTTGTGGCCAGAAACAGGTGCCACGCCGCCTTTCCTCATTCCTCCTCGCGCGCGGCAACGCCGAAGCTATTCTCAGGGCGGGGGCGCAGGGTCGCGGCTTCAAGCCCTTGAGGGCCGGAGCATCTAAATTGCCCCAGCAGGGTCTGTAGCATAGTAGTTAGGAACACCGCCCAGGTGTCCGACGCGGGTATTAATCCCAGCTGTGCCCTTTTAGGCAAGTCGTTTAAACTCTGTGTCTTGGTTGGGGGCTAATGCCGTCCCTGCCTCTTAAGGCTGTTAAGGTTCAGTGAATTGGGGCGTGTAAAGCGCTTATCAGAGTGCCAGACCCACAGCGTGTCCCAATAAACCGTCTGCATAATTTATTAGCGTGATATTAAGCTATAACTTAGTGGGTAGAGTGGACAGAAGTTGACCTACCTCCTCTTTTGGTTTCCTTAGGGGCAGAAATGCTCAGCGTGCCCACTTCCAGTGCCGGTTTATTATTTGGAGGGGTTAATGTCTGAAAGGGGTGGGAGTGTGCGTTTAATTGGGACACTCTGTAAGCAGGCAGTCTGTAAAAGATGCTGTTATTTCCGTCTCGGCTGAGCCAACTGCAAGATTTTCACCAGGTCCCTGTTTTCCTGCCATCATCCGGCTTCTTGTTGTCATTCCATTCCTGGGAAAGTTGCTGGCAGAAGCTTTGAGTGTTCAGCAAACCTTTTTGGAGCTCCTGCTGTGTGTCAGGCTCTGGAGGCGGGTGTACGAAGCTGGAAAACGTCTGTCCTTTCTTGCACTACATCTCTAACTTCTAACTTTTTTTTCGCTGCAGCTGTGCTTTCATTCCCTCGTCCTTGTTGGCCGACTTTCCTTTTAAGCCCTTGCCCCACCTCCGTGTCGCAGTATTGCTTATGTGGAAGTTTTCTCCTGTTCCGGCGAAGATGTGTACTTCAGACTGTTCTGCCCCTGTTCTCTGGCTGTGGGGACGTTTTTAAGGTCACTCTTCCCTTCTGCTTGTAGCTTTAATTGTTTAGAGGGTGATGGAAATAGGGTTAAACAAGATTTTTTGGTTGATTTTGGTCTTTCAAGAATCGGTGTGCTTGCCAAATGTAAATGACATTGCTGCTTGTTGAAGTAAAAACTAAAAATACAGTTGGATTGTAGAGGGAGCAGTTTCAGTCATCCTGGTAACAGGTGGGATTTATAAAACAGCAACTCTTAAGAAATACTGAGTTTCTTTTAATTCCATACTTAGTTGTTTAGGTGTACCCTTCATTAAGGAAATGACTCACAGAGGTTCAGATTTACAAAAGACTAAGAAGTGTGTGTTTGTTCAATTCAGTGATCCTCCTGTACATTGTATTATTTTAAGTGGATTTCCTACTGAACCTTACACTGTTTTGATTTACACCCATCTCTCATTAACACACATGATGCAAAGTGACCTCTCTGTTTTCGACATTTTCTTAGAATTTTCCGACACAGTCTTACCATCATTTCTAGTTTAAAATCTTGGTTTGGATGACTCTGAAAACACCCAAGCAAACAACTATACAAGCAACAGAAGACATAGCATGTCTTCTGCCATAATTGAAAATTGTAATGTTTGGGAAGTAATGTTTTAATATTGCATTGGATAACCTCATTTTTAAAAAATATCTTTTTGTTATGGAAAACATACAAAGTCAATAGTATAGAGAATCTCCATATATTGGTCACTCAGCTTTGACAATTGTTAACTCAAAGCCGGTCAGTCTTGTTACGTGTAGCGCCCCCTCCCCCAAACTGGGTTATTTTGAATCAAATCCTAGACATATAATTTTACTAGATTGCCCCATACTCTTACTCTGTCACAAAATTTACTTTTAGTACAATCACAGTTCTCATTTTGTTTGTTGGGCAGCAGGAAAAAAAAATGAGTAGCCAAATTAGCTCTTGATTCAGTGCTTACCCCCTTCAAAGTTATATCCAAAATACTTCCTTGCTTCTTTGTGTACAAAAGCATCAATTCTTAAGCTATTAGTGATTATAATTGAAAAGCAATCGGAAATACAGATATCCCTAATCCTGTTTTGGTGGAGAGACCTACTTGTTAAACCACTTTTAATGGAGAATAGCTTTGTGTCAAAGTTAAACAACAGTTAATAATTCATAATAACTTTCAGAGTTTCTTTACAGTCCTTATGTAAATATGCTGCTATCACCTTAGGTTAAGAATTAAGCAAAGGATATTTGATTTCAAAACTCTGTTGTAGAATTATTTTCCAATACCCGACTTCCCCATCTGTTGTATTTACAAACAAATTAAGTTTGAATTCATAGCATAGATGTTCATGTTTTTCTTGTCTAAAAAGAAATCTGTCCTAGAGTGGAAGTTGACAGGAATATTGTTTGTCATTATGATTTAATTTTCACATTTCTGGTCATGAACACCAGCTTTTAGATCAGTAACATTGTCATTTCAGTTGTGTAGGTTTATTTTTGAGCTTGATCAGGCATGGTGAAAATATGTTATGTTTCAGTTATTACAACCTGAGAGATGGGGAGAGATATGCATACCTCTTAAAATTAGGGGGGAAAATCCAATTTGGTGTCTAAGAAAGGACACAAAATGTACTTTATTTTTAGAAATGTTTAGTGCTTCCTAGTAGGCTTAAAGTACAACTTTTATGCTTTTGGAATTGTCACCTTAAATACTGTACAATTTGTTCAGACTAAATTGTTGTCTCTTAAAATTCAGCCAGAAAGCTCTTTTATATACAGATTATCTTAAGTTTAAAAATGCGTATGACTCATAGAATTCCTTCCCCTCCTCCAATTCTGAAGTCCAACCATTAACGTTATTCTGGGTATAATCATTAAACATGGGACTATCCTGTGCTGCTTCATCCAGAATCTCTTCCCCATAAAACAATGAAGAAGTATTTAATGTAGAGGCACAGAGTGGATCTCAGCTTGCAGGGCAACTTTCTATGATGCCCTTTTACTGGATGGAGTGAGAGTGAAATTTACCAGTATAAAGATGAAAGTTTCATGAAAAAAGGTATCTTTTTGTGGGATGTCATGGGGCCTTGTTTTTATGAACCTCCAAACTGGATCATCTTATTTCAAATCCAATTTAGTGACACAGAATTGCTCAATTTGGGGAAATGTAAACTCCTCCCCTCAAATGAGAGCTTTTGGCCTTGCTCTCTTTCTCTCAGAATGGGATTTTGGAGCAGTCAGAAGTTTTTAGAGAATTTTATGAGATTTTATTCTACACTAGACCTAAGACAGGTGGTTTTAAATTAACTTGTGGTGAGCCCTGATGATGTGGCTCAGTGGTTGATTGTCAACCCATGCACCAGGAGGTTGCTGGTTCCATTCCAGGGTTTAGGGCTTGATCCCCAGTGGGGGGCCTGCAGGAAACAGCCAATTGATGTTGATGCTTCTCTCTCCCTGATGTTTCTATCTCTGTCTCCCTTCCTCTCTCTCTAAAATCAATTAAAAATATATATATTAAATTAACTTGTGGCGATGGAGACCTTTGTGGTTAATGTGCCTCCACTGCAATTTTCTACTTGAGCTTTTCCTTAAATAAAACTATCAAAATTAAGACTATATAGCGTTTATGCTATCCTGAAAAATGTAATTTATAAGTTAAGAGACTGAACTATGAGTAGACATGGTTGCTGTGGTTATTTTTACTGAATATTTCATTATGAAAAATTTCAAATATATTACAGAGTTTAAAGAATTTTAATGTCACCTCTATACCTGTCACCTACCCTCTGCCATTAACATTTTATTACCCTTGCATTATCACGTCTTTTCTGTTGCTCTGTCTCTTTTAATTCATTAATCCATTTTATTTTTGATGCATTTCAAAGTAAATTGCAGTTATCAGCACATTAAAGACTTCAGCATGCATGTCTACCACAATTAGTTTTAAATTGAAACAACTCTATAGGCATTCTTAGATCTTTAAAAGATTTGATTTGTTTCCAATTTTGCTTTGACTCCAGAACTCTCTGCTTTTTTCTTTTTGAATGTTGCTAATTTTTTTTTTTTTTTTTAAGAGAAGAAGGGGGAGAGAGAGAGAGAAATTGATGAGAGAGAAACATCAACATCAATCTGCTACCTTCTGCATGCCCCCACTGGGGATCCAGCCTACAACCCAGGCATGTCCTCTGACCAGGAATTGAACCATGACCACTTGGTTCCTGGGTCAACTCTCAACCACTGAGACACACCTGGCCAGGCCAGAACTCTCTGCTTTTTAAAGGAAATTGTCTAATGAACTTTTTGCACCAAGATGTGCTTATCGGTAAATCAAGTATTACAAACCTTGAATAATGTTGGCCAAATCCTATGTTCTCACCTACTAAGGAGAAAATAGGATTATAATATATAGCTATGTTGATTTTAAATGTCACCAGATGGATGGTTTGGATATCTCTTCTGCCCACAACTTAAGTGCTCTGAACTAAAAAACCTTACCAAAGGAAATTATTTTTTAAAAAATAGTAAAATTGGATATATTCCTAGAAGTGGGATCACTGGGTCAAAAGGCAGCTCCATTTCTAATTTTTTGAGGAACCTCCATACTGTTTTCCATAGTGGTTGCACCAGTCTGCATTCCCACCAGCAGTGTACTAGGGCTCCACTGTCTCCACATCCTCGCCAGCAGGAGTCATTTGTTGATTTGTTGATGTCCTGAAACACTAATCAGAAAGAATATATGCACCCCTATGTTCATAGCGCAATTTACAATAGCTAAGATCTGGAAACAGCCCAAGTGCCCATCAGTAGATGAGTGGATAAAAAAGCCGTGGGACATATACACCATGGAATACTATGCAGCTGTAAAGAA